AGGATCGTACCTTACTGACAGCCTCAGCGCAATCCAGCACTTCTGCAGCATAAGCCCAGCACTGTCTGAAGAGAAAGCAGACAAGGCACTTGTAGCCACGAGCAGGGCAGTTTGTGCAGATGAATGTTATCAACTGCAAGTGTGACATGAGGTAAGAAGCTGGTGCTGTCAACAGCTCCCCTGAGCACCAGCTCTGCTCCAGCCTCCTCTACCTTAAGGCCAGACTAAGCTGATCTGTGGAAACTTTTCACAGCAGAGCCCTGTCAACTGCCCACCTGCCCTTTTTTCTTTTCATTTAGTTTGAACCAGGCTACTCCTGAGGTGTTTCGTAACTCTCTTTCTACAACACAAGGAGTAGACTAGGAACAAAGCAAAACCAGACCCGCAGTACTTGCTGTATACATACATATCCTCACACTGTCTCTAGCATAGAAAAACACGCCACTGCCATCTGCATTGCAAGAAGCACCAGCATTAAAACCATAAGCCAAAGACCCTGAGGATGAGCAGGAAACAAGTTTCTACAGGATATCAGAACCGCCACCATGGCAGCAGCTGGGTGCCCTCTGTGCCCTGTGCAGACTCCCTAGGGCAGTGCCAGGCCTGAGCAGAGAGGCAGGGATCTTCTGGGATGACAAGGGGAGAAAACAAGGCCTGGGAGGTTTGAGGGGTCACTACAGGATAGAGGAAGAGGCCCTGTGTGGGTGATGCGGGAGCCTAAGACCAGGCTAGACACTTCCTAGGAGGAAAAAAATCCCTCTCATGGCCACTGCTCCCTCTCAGGGAGCCAGCGGTGCACCTCTCCCACAGCAATGCCTCCCCCCTCCCTCAGCACACCCCTATCTAAGCCCACCTAGGGTTTCTTACTTTTTGACCTCAAACCAGCACCATTCATTGGGCTCCCACCTACCCTTCAGGACTGAGGATCACCCACAGAGAAAGTTGCCATAAGCTGCTACTTCCTCATCTCGCAGCAGCTTTGAGGTCACCGTGAAAACCAGTAGCCAAATCCGGGCACTGGGGTAAGGTGAATTCAACACCTGAGGCAGCTGCAGGCAATAAAATACATCAGCTGAATAAATGCAGACAGCTGAGGGTACAGCCAGTGACAGGGCACAGAAAATAAAGAGCAGGTGATTCCCAGGGCTGCCAGCCTGTGCTGAGGGGAGATTTGGCAGGCATGGTCTCGGGCACAGCAGTCACCACTGCCTGACCCAGACCCTGTGCCTTGTCTCAGATCTCTGCTAAGTAATTCCTGCTTTGGTTGTATTAAAGCAGCGAGGCTGATAACAGCCACCAGACAACACTTTTGATTCTCCCAAAGCACCAAATATATGCTTTTTGGAACAAAAAATTCCAGTAGCAGCACTGGGGTGAGACAAAGCCCTTTTTCTGTTGTGCTGCTGTCCAACAGCAGGAGTCAGTCACAAAAAATTCATTTGAATTTAGAATGGGTGTTTTGTACTACGATTGAATCTATTCAGATGTATTGATAGTAGGGAATAGCACTGTTGACAGAGTGTGTGGGCTTTTCCTTTAATTAAAATGAATTTTATAAAGAAAAACTAAGTTCTTAGAGGCGTTTTGAGAATTTATGGCACTCACTGGCTAAATTAGTACTCAGAAATCGACAGTTTCACGGGCTGAGTCTATACCACTTGGCGTGTGTACAAATATTGCACACATAAATACTGGCTCTTGCTGCTTCCTCCAGCACTGGTTGGTGTTGGGTGGCTTTCTTAATTTCACTTTGCTTCTTTTGTCTGCAGTGTAGAGATAATACTTCTCAGCTCTGTGGTGGTGCCAAGCTTGATTCATGAATGTTTTAAAGCATTCTGTGATTTTCACCCTGAAAGGTGCTTGAGAACCATAAATTATTACTTTAATATAGATAATAGTTTTCATCTCATGAATGTTTCATAGTACTACTCCAAATTCATGCCTGATATAACTCTAATAACTTGAGCAGAGTTAAACTAGGGATAAATTTGGTACAATATATGAGGCAGCAAAATGAAATTCCAAATGTGAGGCAGAGGGCTTACCAAGTATTATTGCAAACACAGTAATGTCAGAAACCCATCCCACTGCCTGCTTACCTGCAGAAGAATTATCAGCTCATGGCACTCTTTAACCTGTTAAGGTTTGATTCATCATTAAATATATGCTTCAGGCCAAAATCATATTTTTCTAATACATTCTATTGCTATTTATATGTAGTTTGTATTTATTGAGAATTAACAGACTTGATCATGTATTTGAAAGCAGATTATTTTTTGCCTTTTAATAAGACACTCCTGCAATTTCCAGTCCTTAGTTGTAGAAGCATAGGACACAGGACTAGCAGGGATCCGCTGCGCCACAGTCCACTTCTCAAAAGCAACCACATCGTAAACAGCCATGTAGAAAGCTTGTCAAAAGCCATTTTAAGTAGCTAGGCTTTTTGTCCCCTACCCTAAAGAAAATACTGTTCATACACTTCAATGCTGTGATAGTGAGAAAGATTAATTCACAGACCAGATCTGTTCATGCCCAGTTTAGATCTTTCTGTTGTGCCAACCTTTCCCTATAGTTGAAATAACTTTCCTCCTGCAATGTCATCTAACTTCTCTTCCTTTATATACACATAAAGAGTAAAATGTAAAATGTGTTATTTGCTTGGTCATGTAAGTGGCCTATGTCTGAGGAATTTGGTGTATATGTTCACAAACCAAAAGCAGCAAAAAGAACACACCACTTAGCAAAAGCTTATTGGTGTTTCTGGTAAAATAGATGAAAAATATATTACTACTAATCTTCTTTCTGTTTGCTGGTAGAATTTTATCAAGGGACTTTAAAGAATACACTGCTGATATCAAAACAATGAAGGCATGTTGCCAAGCATGTCTTCTTTCTATAAACAACATAATAAAGAAATTTCTAGAGATACGATAACCAGCTTTGAAAAGAAAAAATATTTGCTAGACATCTGCTACTTCATTCTTCAGTTGAACCTTGGAGAAATTTAGATCTTTGTTGATTGTAGGCTCTTTCCCCTGTTTAACTCTGATTCTTAGCATTATTGCCTTTCCATTTGGTCTTCAGATTTTATGTTCTTCACTGTCTTCAGTGAATGATCTTGGCTGTCATGGTTCTTATAATACTTCTTTATTCCCTCTTTTCTCCATTCTTTCCTATTAAAAAAAAATTCTACAGAATGTAATGGGAAACTTGATAAGCATTCAAATCTTATGTGGCAATGTACCCTACTCTTATAGAGAGTTTCTTACAGAAACATGATATTTCCTATTAAGTTTTTACATTTAGAATGATTCCTATAGAACCTCTTCTTTCTTCCCTCCTATCCCCCTGTCCCCTTTCCAAACAGGGCTTTTCTTTACAATGTTGTTGTATCAGAGAATAGGTTGTTGAATATCCAGCTGATCCAGAGGCTTTGACAATCTTTCTACTGGATGCTGTGTTCACCCAAACTTGCAAAGAGTTGCAAAAGTGCCACAGCTGTTATTAATGCTAGCTCCTAGAATGGGATGAGTAAATGCAAAACAAAAAAATTTATTCATTTTCTTTGATGATATCTGGATTTGATCATAATGAAACTTTTGAAATATTAAAAGTAATTTGGAAAAGAATTAACTAGGCATCCATCTTCATCTTTTCCCCCAGTAGAAATGAGAAAGAACTGTCACCAAATCATAAATAGAAAATAAGGTCCTGTTAAGTCTTAAATATCAGCATTAGGTAAAGCTTAGACCTGGAGATAATGTGGGTACTGTAGAGCCACCTTTAATGGAAATCATAGGTGTGCAGCTGGCATAAACGCAATTTCTTATCAAGTGTTGAGATTTACCCAATTAAGCAAGTAACTTCTAAGTGTTGAATGAGACCACAACCTGGACGATCAGTTCAGAGAGTTAAAACCCCACGTCATTAAGTCACCTGTAAGATGCACCTGCAGTCTGAGTTTAGCATATGAAGAATTAGAGTTTGGGACAGTATCATTGCTAGATTTCTAAATTCAGTGCCCACATTTGCATGTTCTGCTACACACAGTTGGGCAGGCAGTCACACATTTGTCTTCCTGCCACTCATGTAAATTGGTATGTCAGTGCAAAACTGTAAGGTCCTGGGCAAATTAATTACTGCACATATTATACAATCAGTCAGCATTAGGTACCAGCCTAAATGTTTGATCCGTCAAAATAATGGACTTTTTATTTCAGTAGCTCTGGTACATAAATCAGGTACTAAACAACAGTGAATCTAAGCATCTGAACTGTTTGGCTGTAATAATTTTAGAGGCAATCCTACTACTGGAGTAGCTAAATGCCAGTAATTGACATATATAAGATGAGAATAAGTAAATACATTTTTTAAGTTTTATTCCATCTCAGCGTCCTAAATTTAAAAGTTCAAATACATCTGAGAGAACATTTTGAAAATTCAACGGTGGGAAAAGAGTGAGAACAGAACGAAAAGAAGGCGAGCAGGGAGGATAAAAGTAAAGCTGACATAACTCCAGGGGAAAGCAACAGACAGAAGGAAAACATGTTTTCACATTATTAAAGATAAAGTAAACACAGGCCACACCATCAGACACCCACCCAGCTCAACTTAGGTCTTGATCCTCCAATCAGAGCTAGATTGCAGACAGTAGACTTTTACTTCTGAGACTGTTTTTCTGGTTTGTCTTTTTAATCCCCAGTACATGAAATAGCCTGTAATACAGCGATTTCTTTTAGACAGCAGAAAACTAATGCATTTGCACAAATAAGAACTGTATTATGAGTCTTCATCTAACCTGTCATTCTGTTAGAGAGTTTATTTCCCAGATTTCAGTGACATTCGTATAGTCAAAACTCATGCAGGAAGTTCATACATTCACCAAGCTCCATCCACAGTCATTCATAATGTCTTTGTATTGCAGAGAAGTGTTTTGTGTTTCAGCAGGTTATTGTTTAATGGGCTAATGCATATTTGTTAATGAAATGGTATTGTGGAAGTTCTACGGAGGCATGTTACCTGTAAAAAAAAAAGACCACTTCCAAATACTAAAAAACCTCTGCTTAGTCTCATGGTGAAGGCTAACTTCACCCATTGAACTGAAGGGAGTTACACCAGGCCTTGTATAATTTAGCCCTATAAGCAATAGTATGCAATAATTACTATGGGAAAATCACCTTGCTGCTTTATTTTTGTGCAATTTGGAAAACTGGAATATAATTTTCCCCCAAAAGAGTGACTACAGTTTGTTATTTTAAGCCCAGAGCTGTATGTATATCTTCTAATTGCAGTATCTTACCCTCTCACAATCAAAAATAAAGCACATGGTATTGTAAGAATATGTTCTATTTCTTTAAATTCTGCATGCCAACACTACTCTGTTACCCTGGGGTTTTTTGTTGGTAGCTGGTGAATGAGCAACAAGAAAGCAGACCGCTTCTGAGCCCCTCCATTGATGACTTTCTCTGTGAAACTAAACCAGAAGCTGTTGCAAGGCCTGTAACATCAAATACTGCAGGTAATCAAAATTCTTTACTATCCCTCACTAGAGAGAAATAGTTTTAATTTTATCTTAATTATGGTACATTTTTGTCAAGTGATTTCTTGATTTGTTACTATTTGCACAAAATTACAAGCTGGTATTAAATTATAATTGCTTCATCTATTACTAGAAAAACCTTTCTTCGTTACATTTGAGGACAAATCTGATGTGATCCAAATCACATATATTCTGACAGACCTCTGGTGTTGAACTAAAGTGAACTTGTTTAAATTCAACAGGAAGTACTTACCAGTTTGACCAAATCTCAATCTGTTTTTGCAAAATTTTCATCTACAGGAAGCCACATTTGGTCTGGCTTTATCTAAACCCATTACTTCTAGAAAGATTTTCTGTAATAAAAACTTGGATGGGATGTCAGAGAGAAGGGAAGAGATATCAAAACAGTTTATCCAGGCTGTTTGGTCACTTTATTAACGAAAGGATCTAACACATTTCTTAGCTCCTTTGTGTGCAATGAGATAATAAGACAGTGCGATATAGTGATAATGCGATGTGAGCACATAATAAAAAATAAGAGTGATTCCTGAAAGCTTTTTGAATTATACTGAATTATATTTGAAGTATATTGTCCTTTGGAATTGCCCTCATCCTATTTGGTATAGGGTTTTCCTTTGTGCAAAGGAAATCAAAGTGGTTGGGCAGATCAACTAAGATACAATAAAATCAGTGTAGCACTACTATGTTCTATTGCTGTCTCATTAAGTGACTTGGCTGGTTAGAAGCCATTTAATTAAAATCTATATACATTCAAATTATTAAATGAGTAACTGACAGCTGGGTGATTATCTTCACATCTACTTAATATATGTCTAAAGCAATATGCAAGTTCAATAGCAAAATCCAGAACACTAAATTAAATAACAATAGTAAGTAATATTTTTTCCTTTTGTATATAGATAGCTAAAGATATTACAAGGATCAATAGAAATATTTCAGGTTAAGAGTGGTGCTTGTAAAAACTATCCATAGATATTATATCTGCCTTGAATATTTATCACATTGGGGGGGATAATTGCAATTATTTAATAGCAAAATAAAAATTTCTTATTCTATGAAGATTGATGAAATTCACTGGTTTTCCAAGAACACAGATAAAGTACGGCAAGAGATAATACAAATTGATCTGTCAACAACGCCTGCCCTATAAAACAATGATAAAGAAGGAGGATTTTTATCTTTTATGTGCTAAAGAATTTTAAATGTTACTTTTTAAGCAACTTTCAACTGAAGAACTGAGACCGAACATGCCTTTCATACTGGTACAGTCCTTAATAGGAATAGCAGTAGAATTTATAACTATATTCTATATTTATACCCCAAAAGACAAACAGCAACAACAGTAGAAACCATTACTAAAAGTGCCGTTAGTCCTTTATGACCCAAGAAATCCACCCTAGAAACTGTCTGCTCTTCAGGTTTTCCCATAATGGTATGTGGCACAACAGTAGTGCCGTAAGCCGCTGTTACCACTACTTGATAAAGCACAGGATTAAACCAAATCTTATCTAAAAGCTCAGTTGTACAGGGAATTCTCACAACATCAGACCTGAGATGTCTTTAAGATTTTCAGAGGAAAAGCCTTTTATGCAAATTAAGCTTGTTTAAACTGCATCCCGTTAAGCACCTGAAATCCCTGATAATCGTATTCGAATATACTGATCATCATCTTTAGCCAGGAAATACACATTTGCTCTAGTCAAATGCAAACACATTCATATTTGTTTCCAATTAAACCAAGTTTTTTTAAGTGAGCAATTTGAAATAAAACAACATTGAATTCTAACATTTTGTCTCCAAGTATTATCAACAGGTCTGGATCTCTTGGATCTTAGTGAACCTGTCTTACAAAGCCAAAACAAAGCAAAGAAATCAGAGAATACATCAAGAAGTGAAGGCTTAAAAGCTTCAATCCACAGAAAGAAGACAGACAATTCTGACCTTATAAGCGTGGATACTGAGCAGAAAGCCCAGACTGTCAGAGTTTCAGACAAGTCTTCACTAGATTTAGGTAAGAGTGTAGCTATTTTATGAGTGCTAGATAGCCCTGCTTAGCACAAGTTTTTTCTTGCTACTATCACAAGATAATGAGCAAGACCAGAATTTTTGTTGCACCAGAGAGGGTTACCTTTGTTCCACATTATAAACTACTTGAAACACTTTAAACTTGAAACACATTTTGCTTTTGCCATTCTACCTATGATGTTGTCATTAAATGTGCGAATTTCTTTCAAAAAATAATTTAGGGTAAAATGGTAGAAAATTCTATAGGGGATTGATGAGAAATTGGTAAAGGACACAAATCATCCAGCCCATGAATGTCCTTTTCAGAACTGCAGATGTCAGAAATACACATTATATTTGTAAATACTACTAATACATAGATTTGTAAGTCTGTGCATACAAGAAAAAAAAAAAAAAAAGAAATCCCTTCTTGATAGAGAGCTATATTTATACAGGCTAAAAAAAAAAAATCCCAAACACAACTCAATTCCTGCCAAGCATGATCTATAGATAAGATTTGGAAAAGGTGAATTTAATTTCATTTCATCCAAACAAAATTACTTGCACCAGAGCTGAGAAATTTGCAAGGTAAATGTAATTTATACCAAGGTAGCAAATTTCCATTCATCAGCACAGAAATTCTTTTAAAGAACTTTATCTTCATAACAGGAGGTGAACATCTGATTTTTGCAAAGCAAGTCTGACATATGACTGAATAATACCAGTTGCCTACACAGTCATTTTTAAATGGTAATCACTAAAAAGTTTTATTTTTACAATTTGACTATAACTAGGAAATTAAAAATATACAAAACTATCAAAAAGTATTACTTTATCAACAGATCTAAATTACATACAAATCACTGATTTTAAATCAAAGAGTCTCACTGACATCCTGACCATGAATACTAACAAAAAAAATGTTGTGAATTCCAAAATACTATCATAGAATATCAGCTACAAAGGTGCACAATTTGTCTGTTTATTGGACCTTAACTAAAATATAGTCCTTGGTGGCATCATTTTCTCTATAACCTCTTAACAGAAGAGATAAAATTTTCTTCAGTAGTTTCTTTAAAAAAAATGTATTTTCTTTTCTTATTTTTCAGTTGATATTCAGACACAGCTAGAGAAATGGGATGATGTCAGTTTTCATGGAGACAGGAGTAGCAAAGCCCACCCTTCTACAGAGCGAACATCATCATCATCTAGAGCTCCATCAAAAGAGCTTTTATGGTACAAATTTTTGCTTTCCTTACAAAAATATTTCCAGAATATTTCACAGAAATGCTCGCTTGATGACAAGTCGTATTATTGAGTCTGTTGTGACTACATTAAACATGTTCAAGCAGATATTTTGGGCAATGTATCATAAAAAAGTGTGCTATAAAATTACATTTTGCCAGCAATTTTCAATGTTGTGAAAAGCAGCAGGTGCAATTAGTAAATAAATGGTGGTGAGAATTCTAGAGAGGCATGCAGTGATCCAAAAACCAGCTACAAACATGAGTAAAATGAGTAAAAAAGGATACTTGGCAGTGATAGGACAGTCACTGGATATCTACTGTATTTTGGTTTTGCTAAATTTCTATGTATAAATGGAAGAAGCAAGATAAAGTCTCCAAGCCAAGTACTACCTCTTCCATGCAGTTCAACTAAAATTTAGGGGATGTAAATGAAGGAAGAATTGGACTTTGCCTTTGCAAACATTTCATGTAGATTAGTTCTGCTGCCTTCGTGATACGTAAGCAACACTCATTCACTACATTATGCATCACCATAATTAGCATTTTCATACACTAGAAGCAGTTTTCTAACCAAATGATGCTTATCCTGTATCTTAACCTGCCCTTTATCTGGGTGTTACATTAACTTAAAGCATTACACAAGCTTTGCTCAGTGAACTTGATTGTGGTAATCAGGGTTTCGTTTTCTAGGAAGAAAGACTAATAGGATATTGCAGCACAAAAATGCATATATGCCAAGGTGAAGTTTTGTGATGTGGTTGTTGATTCTTAGATACTGACTGCAGATACAGTCTTGTGTCATTGCCTAACCTCATTCTGCCTGGCTATGAAATAGAAGCATAGCATTAGAGGCAAACTCTTCATCCCATCATACTAGTTTCGTACCAACATATACCATGGACTCCACTGGTGAATGAGGCCTGACACTGTTCTGTTGTATTAGCTATTGTCGCATGCGACTGAAAAGTCTAAGAGTGGGAACACTGAGAAGGGCCCAGGCACTTCTGGTAACTGCAAATAAAACAGTTCAGTTAAAAGAAATAACCTACTTAATCAGTTTGTGCTTATGAACCTGAAAGACATGTCTTACTATGCAGTGTTAAGTATGTAAATGCATTGTTTCTAGGTCCACAGAAAACAGATCACAGTCTGAGCTGACTAATGTCAAGAGTGCCTTGGAATCTGATTCAACATCAGAATTAGAACTTGCATCTGCAACACAGGTAAGAGGATTTGGTAGATTTATTAACAATAAAAAGGCAAGTAGGAATTGCCCCAGTGGTTATCTGTTCACATTCTGGAAGAACTATTTAAGGGATATTTTCAGGATCATTAGTTAAAAAAAAATCATCCAACCAAGTCTGCACACAGCTTCCAAATTAACGTTATGAAAATAAATCTGCCAGTGTCTCAAACATTAATACTGCAGTGAACTGTGACCCTCCTGTACAGAGAGAAAGACTTCAAACTACGATTTATAGCATCATCTTTTTTCCATTCCTCTAGTTCTCAAATTGAAACTTCTAGTGGCTCCCTCTCCTTGTAATACATTTATTCTCAAGGTCTTTTGGTAAACCAGGAGTCCCCAGAACTGGAAAATGGCTAAGGAATACAGGAAGGAATCATTAGACCAGCTTTCATTAGCAGTTTATCTCCACAGGTGGGACAGCACTGTGGGCCAAGGACTTTTTCCTGCTGGAAAGGGAACACTAATAGAAAAGGCACCGGGCTGAAAGTTTCTAGATGTGCCCAATTCCACTGTCATATATTATATAAGACAGGACCTTGTGGAAATCATTACTGAGAGTTGTATGGGTTTTACATATGCATGTATGCATATATATGTACAAACATACATTATATATGCATGTATGCATATGTATGTACAAACATGCATTGCATATTGCATAGATCAGGTCACTATACACCTTCTGACCCGCTTCTTATTAACCAAAAGATTTCAAGTTCAGCCAATTCCACTGGCAGGGGGAAGAGAGAGATGTTTGGTGGACTAACTTCGAGTTGAAAATAATTTTCTCCTCTTCCACAGCTATTTTTAGTCCTGGACTTCAAAACATTTCTGTCAGATGGAAGATCTGGAAATTAATGGAAAATAATAGCCTCACTTGAAATTAGAAAAATGAGACACTAAAGTTCCAAATGTCTTTCCTGAGATTATGCATGGAGGGTTTTTTTGGAGAAAATAGAAACACAACCCAGTTATCATGATCCATTCCTGTGTTTTGATTAGGAAAAAAGTGTCCTTTACTTCCCTGCCATCTCTACATTATAAACAAGATTTTTTTTCCCCTTTGGAAAGCCTAACCCTAGTTGTAATGCATGATATTTTTCCTGCCTGTGCAATAGATTTATACATCTTAGTAATGGAAAAGGTCTATTGCATAATATCATCCACTTGCGATGGACAGTGTGTTTTCACATGCTTTTGATCAGCTTATCTTTAAGTACCTCTAACCCCTTTTTAGGATGCTGTTCCTCAGCCTAATAGATCTAAATGCCAGGAAGTTTGTGCTCAACCGAGATATGTGTAAATCAAGTAGACAGTCACAGAATTTAAGTGCTGTGGCTTTCCGTAAAAGCAGTTACAAATTTAGTACGTAACATAGCTACTTCATGTAGTCTACTTTCTGTTTATCTTTCACTAGAATAACTGCAGAGGCAAAACTCCACATTTTTAATTCAGTATAAGTTCAGTCAGCTGAGGCTCCATACTATTTTGCAAAATGACTAGTATCTCAAAATAAAAAAAAAGTGAAGTTGAATCAGCCAACTTGAAAAAGAAGCAGAGTATAAAATTACTATCTGTTGTCTTGGTATATTTCATGTTTTGTTTAATTTTATCATAAGCTGCTTTTTTTCCAAACTTGTGATCCATTCAAGTAATGAAATGTTGTTAAACTAGTAATCAGTAGTGCAGAGAATTGACCTGAAGTGAGATTGTTTTCTTGTTCCAAGTAGTTTACTTAGAAATTTAGTATTTTAATTCACTGCCTTTGTCCTGCTTATATGTGGACTGTCAAATTTGTCATTTCCCAACAAACAGGCTCATCTGTCTTGACTGCATTCTTAATCTGCTTGTAAAAGAAATCACGTTAGAGCTTTTATCAAAGCATATGTTTTCCATACTTTGTCCTCTATAGATCTTGTTTCTCTCATTTGAGGGTAACTTTTGCATATGCAACAGTTTCTGCTATACCCTAGAGATTTCATCTTGTCAAACTTGCTGCAGTTTTCCATCAGCAGTTTCTCAGACAATCACCTTCATCACTCATCTTTGACATGTTAGATTTAGTTCCTCAGAGTGGAATACTAAGTAACTAGGTCATATTTTCATTAAAATTATGCAATCTTCTTAACAAAATCCTGTGTTTACCAGCCAACACCAAATCACAAATGCAAACTTTGAATTAATAAGGAAGAAATGTGTTTGAAGGCTGGAAAGGGCAATAGCATGGTAGCTGTCATCGGGTGCGGCCCTTTTACTTCTCAGCATTCTACTTGCATCATATGTTACCTATTATTAACTTGTAAACTGCATTGGCCCAAACTATCTTTGTTCCTTCTTTTATCTGCCATTCTGGAATGTTCCTTGTTGCACTTTTATTAGTACTGAGATACCTACGGTGTTTGGGTGTTTTTAAAGGTTTCTTTTTTCTCTTTTAATTATAACCTGCAGAGGGAGATAATATGCTTAATTGTATATGCATGAAGTCTGCTCATCTTTTAACTCTCTAAATACCTCCTTGAGCATTTTAGATATTTTATTGCTCACACAGAATACATACACAAAACCCCTGACATGCTAAAACCCCATACCTATTCTAGTATGTCAGCACTCTTAGACAAAGTAAAACACAAAGCTCATAAACCTTAGAAACCTGTAGTTGGGGCAACAATATTTAGAATGCAAACTTTATTCCTCACTTTTCCCGGATAGCTACAGTAAGAATGATGGCCCCAGTTCTCTCTGAACATGCCAGTTAATTTAGTGAAATTAAGAGCTACAAGGGACAGATTTAGCTCATTATTTGAAGACCTGCTCAAAAGTTAAGACTATAATTTAAGCCTCTCACCAACAGTTAAGGTCCAACAGCACATAAGCAGACTGCAAGCGCAGGAAAGTGTGTGCAAATGCATTGGAATGGAAGATTTTGTCCCTGAAGACAGCAGCCAGTGATCAGCTACAGCACCTTCATGGTAGAGTGGTGAGCATATCAAACCACAGTCTATGCAGAGCGTCCATGCCTCAGACATACCCATTTCACCCTGACCCTTACCTGCCTTGGGCTCCCCTTGAGGGAGCTGCAGAGTCCCCCTCCCATCACCAGCTGGAGATGTTAGGTTCTCCACAGCACTCCATTCCCATCCCCTCTATCCCACACTAGCGAAAGGCAGCATGTTTGTTTTAATTGGGGTCTTTCACTTCTGGGTATCACCACTCAGAATATGACTGCATTGTCTACATTCAAATGCACCTTATATGGGTTTTGTTAATTACTTCTTTCTTTCCCCTCTGGCTATTCATCTAATGGAGGAGAAAGCATATTATGTGGGGACAGTGTGTATACTCTGACACGTGGCAGACGTGTGCCAGATGTAGGGGGCATCTGCGTTTCTTGGTCTTTTCTCCTTCATTTCTCTACTGCCCCAACAAGCTTACTCTCCCCTTCTGCAGCTCTGCTCAGCCTAAACATCATGATTTACAGTATTGTCCTTGACCTAAGGAAACTGCAGTCACTGGAAACAAAAGATTAAGAAGTGGAAGTAATCGAAGTTTGCAAGAGCCAGCTTATAAATAATGAAAAGCCTAGGAACATAATTAATGTCTAGCAAGAGACTTTTGTGTCAAGAAAGCAAATATAATTCTTTGATCAGATTACAGGTCAGGTTGATAAATGTTGCTGTGTGATATTCTGAAAGATGTTAGAATTAACTTACCATATTCTGATTTTAAAATTAGCACCATACCATATGAATAAAGCAGCTGTTAAACAGATAAAAAACTGGCTAACCTAAGATCTCAAGAACAGCAGTTATTTACTAGGAATTGTAATCACATGGGGGCTCTTCTGCAATTCCAAAAAGAATTGGTCTTTGGCTTTATTGATCTGAAAATAAAGGCGCAAGCCAGTGCTGATAAAATTGGCACTTGATGCAAAAAATCTAATGAAAAATATGTAAATAAGGGAGTCATAAAAATGAGCTGGTGACCAAGACATCTGTATAAAGACATATTCCAATACAGTCACAGTATCATACATTTCAGGACAAGAATGCAGGCTCTACTTACAACATTATGCTGGAAGGCAATTTGAAAAGAATCTATGGTTCAGAGTGTACAAGGATGTCAACATGACAGCATGTGCAGTACTGTGGCAAGAAGAGCATGTAGAAGCAGGCATAATTAGTGGGAGACAGGAGATCACCCTATTTCTGTATAGAGAAACAGCAAGACAGGTACTGGAATATAGGGTTTGCTTTGGTTGTCTGTATGGCTATAAAAAAAATAGAGCTATAAAAAAATAAAGAGGGAGAGTAAGAGAGACACAAAAAAGGTTGAAATCAGAATAAAATGCCTCATAATGAGGTAATTTAGAATCTCAACCTCTTTATATCATTTAAAAGACAGTTAAAACCTGATTCAAGACATCAGTATCTTTCCAGAGAGAAAATAATGGATACTAAAATGTTCTTTAAACTACTGGAAAAAGAGTAAAAAGTGATAGTTGGAAACTGAAAGGAAAATTAATAAGAAAAACAAGGAGAGCAATTAAACAAATTTGCAAATAAGTGATAAGATTAAGGTCTCTTGATAACTTTAAATTAAATCCAAGCACCTTCCTCAAAGATGCATACTCCAAACAACCTCAGTTTATTCTCTGTGGAACATCAGTTTCGGCTTGCAGATCTTGAGTGACAAATACTGTTGCATGATACATAAAGAAATAGATTATCTGAACTAGTTATCTCTTCTGCCCTAAACTCTTTCAGTAAAATAACTGGTTTGTGTATAGGATTGGGTTTTGCTATGTTTTCAGTGACAACCTGGTATCTCTTCCTGGCCTCACCAAATAAAAAAAATACTTTCCCAACAACACAGACCAGAGGCAGTCATTATGAAAGCAGAAACAACGGATCCTCAGTGTAGTCCTTCCCTCATGCTCTGTGCCTCCTGTCAGTTGCAGCAAAGTCCAGAAGTCAACACAGAAGAATGCACACAGTGCCCCTGCACACACACCTGGTCTCACAGAAGTTGTGCAGGATCATTCTCTTCAAACCTCATGTGTATCATCAACCCAATGGGTATTTCACTCATCAATCTACTGGAGAGACCAAAGACTCAGGAACAAACAGAAACTTTAGAGCTAGATTGACAAACGTCATCTTTCTAGGTAAAAATCCATTTGTGTATTTGACCATGCATTGCACATGACTTATATGAAAACCCAGAAATGTCTGGGATGTTTCACCCCAACAGCACACATTCCAACACTAGCAGTTCCAGCCCAATATATCTGAATTGAGTAAAATTAGTCTTTTAGCAATGTGGCTCAATGAAATTGTATATTACAAGTACAGTCATCAGAAATATAATAATGTAAATTAATAAATTAGGGACCATGGTCAGGCAAATTGCTAATGAGTTTAACCTCTGACAAACATGAGGGAAGGGGTTAGCAGCCAGAGCTCTGTTTAGCAAAATTCGGCCGCTTTGTGCTTTCCTGTGCCATCACTGAATGCTGTTCGGTTTTGCAGTGGGCCTGTTGCACAAAAAAATAAATAAAATGTTTTTAAAAAAAGAACGGGGAGAAACTGGTCATGTGCTTCCAGTGGGACCGACTGATAGTAAGGCACAGAAAAGAGAGCTGCTGCTTGTGAAAAGCATTTGTGCTTCCAGTGAAATCTGTAGCAGATGTGGCTCTCCAATGTGGTCTTGGAGCAGAACCCGAAAGAAAACCACAAAATATACAGGGAAAATTATATGTTTTCTTCCTGGAGCATAAGGATTGGAATGCATTGCCACAGTCATAATACCGGAGAAGGAACAATTAAGGTAAAAGTCTTGCACAAAATAGTCGGCTCTTCTCTTTGTAGCCCAGCTCTTGCATTGTCTTTTCTTGGAGGTCTGTATATCTTTCACACATCTTGAGTAAAAATGAAAGTCTGGAAAATATCAGTTACTCTGCTTCCCATGAGGAATGATCTCTGCTACAGTGTAAGAGAATTTAGAGGAATTCTTGCAGGGATGCAACTAGTTTTGTCCAAGCAAAAGGCTATTTTGGGCTGTAGGCAATTCAAGGAAATAACTCAGAAATGTGGCAGAAAGTATATCATCCCTTTCTGATTTATTCTTTTCTCTTTTAGGCACGATCAGCTAAGGAGCAGCGTTGGGGAGGGCCCCTACTCTCCAGAAATCACTCGCTGGAGGAGGAATTTGAAAGAGCAAAGGCAGCTGTTGAGGTATTGCTCCATTTACTGTTTTCATTTGCAGCTAATGTTCTATGGATTTCTTATCTTGCAGCAAAGGTATGGCAGAAAGGTGGAACTAGACTGTTTAAAGCACAGACAAGATACATTGCCTGGAGTTACTCATTTAAAATAGCAGTTTCTGTCTTAATAAATAAATAAATAACTTAGGCATAAATGAAGATTAGACAACCAACTTCCCAAGCTTGACTTTTATTGCTATAGCAAGTAGGTCAAGAAAAAATCCCCATAAATGTAAGTACTTCCAAACTTAAAGTATAAAAGTGAAACATATTTTTGCCCCAGGAATTGAATATGTGCATTCAGTTATTTAAGCTCAGGCACAAACCGATTCTCCACAGTGAAACTGGAATTCAGAATCATTGATAAGCAGGATGGTTACCTGCTGTCATGTATAGCAGTATCCATGCACCAATGCATTTTTATAATTAGTGGCAGAATGTTAAACACAGGAGTACTTGTTTCCTGACAAATCAACTTAGTTTGAAAGGTGGAGGTGTTTGGATAGTTCTCCTATTGCACTTCTGTTTTTTTTCACTAATAACTACTTTTCCAACATGAAAAATGCCTCTTGAGTGTTGTCCTATATCACTAGTCCCAGCTGAGATCCCAATCCTGTCTAGAGACAAGATGGCATATATAGTTTTTTTAACAGAATCAAATAAAAATTAAATATAAGTATTGATCTTGAGCATCAGATCTTCTCAGGGGTTCAGTCAGTAACCCTTTCAAATCCCATCGCCACAAAGAGCCAAGGCAGTTGCATCCAACAGAGAACTGCAGCTCAGGCTGCATTATGTAACAGACACTGAAATGAGTTTTTGGGTTGGAAAGGATAAGGCTGTGAAACTGGTTACTCAAAACTGATTATTTTTGACATAAACTGCAGTCCATTAGTCTGAAAACATCTAGAACACTTAAGGGATATTTGGATTTAGGTTTAAATTTTAGTGCCTGTATTTTAATAGTCCTCTAACTCAAGTTTTATACCACTGTAATTGCAGTGTTGGCAGTTCTTAATCTCTTCTTAGATTAATATTGGTTAATTACAAACAAAACAAGGCCAAAATCATATGCTGGCTTCTAGCTAGAAACAGAATTTCTCATTTAAGAAGTTAATTTGATTTTCGTGATATGCTAAGGTAAGACTACATGGTTTCTACCATGGTTTCTTAGGATTTTACTGGACACCATAAAACTTCTTGTCTTAGCGTACAAGGCTAAAATGGACACAATCAGTAAGCTAGCTGTTTTATGAACTACATACTGAAGGCATTTTTCTTGTATTTTCTGAGTGCACTGTTTTTTTCCGCTCAAATACATTCTTTATAAAAATCTGCTGGTGATATACAATAGATTTTTTGATGCCACACATCATACACATTTGCTCCTGGCAGGAAAGAAGAGATTTGCTTTCAGATTGCCACTGCTTAAAATGCTCTAGATGTTACTAATTGACTAATTGCACTGCAGACTGATCCTTAAGATGGGACAGGTTTTGCTATAATCTGTGATTGTGATACAGGGAATCTTCTTTCTGTTACGGTCAGTGGTTAAGCAGATGATATCAGTACTCTTGCAATTGCCAGAGACTATGTGTGATGGGGAGTTCTCAGGCATTCAGCAGAAAGAAAAATTAGTTGAGGCCAACCACAGATTACAAAACATTACTGAATTACTTTACAGAGTAAAGTATGAAGGAAAATATATAGTAAAAAATACCCCTGCACGTTAAAAGGTCGTTCTGAGGCAACAGATTGTTAAAATGCTTTAATGTAGCCTCACAAACAGCTATTAAAAAGAATCTAATTAAATGCTTCCCTAGCTGTGCAGCAGTCTTAAATTATTCTTTTTGCTTAAAATAGAAACTTGGACCAGGTAGTTAAAATGTAAAGGAAAGGATTCTTCAGGATCTTGTACAGCAGTTATTTGCATATGAAAAGAGTTGAATTTTCATCGTAGCTAAAATGAAGAGCTAAGAAAGCTAGAGTGATTGAAATAAATTGCAGCCCATCTCAGAAAGATTAGTATTTTCTTAAGCAGAGAATAGATACAGTTCACAATTTATTCTTTAGGCTTTGGATATTCCTGTAATATTCTTCAACTGGGAAATCTCCAAGTGGCAAGATTAGCCAGAAAACTGGTGAAGAAAAGGAAGCAAATCTCAGGTTCTTTGTGGCCTAGTTCGAAAGGAATTAATTAACAATTCAGTAAATGAAGACACCAAACTTTATCCTCCACCCAATATTCACTTTAGAGCTTTGGGAATGGTTTTAACATGTCAAACTTTGAGATTAATGAAGATCTGTGAGGTAATTCTTTCATAAGAAGGTTTAAAGATGTCTATGCTATTGGGGAATCTTTTAAGAATAAAGAGGCAAGTAAATCAGCTTTTTTACAAGAGAGGGTGCAGATTCCCTTGCAGTGATTGGGTGCTTGCAGACTTTGCTACGTTTTCAGTCATTCTGGAAACTGGGTATTTGATTTTTGCATCATCCCTTTGCTATACACGAGAGAAGCACAGAGAGCCTAGAGTCTTCATGATTTGCAAGTGCCAGTGCCGTACCAATTATGTTTTAATGTAATCTTTCTAATAATTACCTGTTTTACCAAACATTAGTACTTCTGAGTTTTTTAAAAATGCAAGCATGGGGATTCAGGTCCATCCTGTACCTATATTCTGTTAAAATTATTTTTATCATCCACCATTCTATTGGTAACAAGTTAAATAAAAATGAAACCAAGAAAGTGCAAAAACCTTCCAACTCAGAAAAAAAAAAAGCTATTTTGGTATTTTCTTATTCCATAGTTCCTTGATGCAGAGATTAAATTGCAGATGAGACACTGTTTTGTGAGCTTACTCAAATTTTGAGCTGTCCTCAGCATCATTTTACTTACATCACCATGCCATAAGAGCCATCTGCTGTATGCTATACTGTTAGAAGCATCAAACAAATTACAGCTAAATTATGAGACAATAATAGGAAGAAGATGGGATTAATTTATTCTAGACTAGGAAAATATAATTCAGAATCATCAGCTTTGTGGTTCCCATGAATACCAATTACAATCCTTTCTGTACCTATGGTATTCCTGTGTTACTATTTCAACATCCCTTTTGGATGTGTCTAAGACTGCCTAAAGCACAGGTTAAATTGGGACATAGGAGCTTGAGTATTCACATGTGTTTATTTGGTAGTCTCTCAAGTCACAGTGGGAACCTTTGACTTGATATACATTCTATTTCTAAACTTTACCAAAGAAAGAGGCATATTTCAAATTTTGTTTTGAGAATATACCAGCAAAGGAAATCTTATGTAGTTAGCACATAAGTTTAACTTACCATGTCTTTCATGTTGAAGAGTACAGTGATGCAGTAATTCAAAGAAAGAACAACCACAGAACCTTCCTTTCTTCTGCATTCGTCAAGAAGGAACACTGCAAACTAATTTTTGGCAGTACAGGAGAGGCACAATTTTACTCTAAAAGTTATAAAAATATGTAAATTTAGAAATTAGTCAGCAATATTCAGGAAGTACACTACCCCACACCACCCTCTTTCTTTGTACCAGGTGCCATAATTGTGCATGATCCGGTCGCTCAGTGCAGCTCTGTCGTACTGGTCTTGGAAACCCCACACACTGGATGTACTTAGAAAGCTGTAGCTGGGACTAAGCCCATTTAGCCCAAACAAGCAAATCTTTGCTTGTATTTGCAAATTAGCAGCTGGGTCCTGGCCTGTGTCCAAGTGGCATATTTGAGACACATTCTAGCAAATCAGGTCTTCTCCCCACTATATTTTTTCTCCATGGCTACTTGAATGCATAGTAATTCATTAGCTTTTTAAGTGGAGTATGCACATAGTGAACTTCTCTGTGAATTATAAAAATGTAATTAAGCAGCTAAATTTGAACTTAAGACTTGAAACCACTTATATGCTTGCTTACGATCTGTAGAAATGTGATTTCCAAATGCCAGTGCTGTATCAAATATGTTTTAATGTAATCTTGCTAATAATTAGCTGTGGTTTACCAAAAATTGGTACTTTTGAATTTTTTAAAAATGCAAGCAGGGAGATTTAAGTCCATCCTGTACCTGTGTGAATCAAACCATTGAATCATAAGGGATTATTGTGGGAAAATACAAGCAAAAAGTCTAATATAAAAATTATATACATATATACATGTATTGAAATATCATTAATTCTATAAGTTTAAAAAGGCATTACTGATTATTTTTCAGTAGTGTTATTAATATTCGTCTGTAGGAAAGGGAAATTTCCAGTCCTTTACCTCCTCCTTAATCTCAAAATTACTGCCAGTAAAAACATGGTCAAGTAATTTTTTCTTCAGTGCAGTGCAGATTTGCACTGAATGCAAAACATCTGAGAGAGACATCTGTTGGACAAGGTAGTTTAATGGATTCAAGTGCCTCTGGTCATGGCTGATAAGAGTAAAAGAGGAAACGCTCTGATTCATTATCCTAGACTTTTCAAACCCTAAGTGGACATTTCAGCACAATCTCTCAACTTTTTACAAGACACCATTTCCTTCAAATTTGAATCAAAGCAAATTTTGAAACCTTGGAAGTTGTCATGTAACAGAGTTGTCAAGTTCTGTTCACTTCTATGACAAAGAGTGGAATCTCCTATGCAGGAGTGAATGATTCACATTTGCTTCCTAATCCACAGAAGAACATAGCAGGTACCTTCACAGATCCAATAATTGTCTAATGCAGACATTTCTGAGTCTCCTGGAGCAAAGTGCTGGATATCAGGAGGCACATAATGACATTTTGGCAAGAGCCAAAGGGAAAACACCTGTTAGACTTCTAGAGAAGAAATGTGCCTTGCCATTTGTGAAAAGTCACAATTTACAGCGGCCACACCTCATGTTAGCCAGCACAAATCCTCCTAATCCTTTACATCTAGGTGTCAAATGTTCTCACCGCTGACTCATTCTAGATATGGTAATAGTCTGTATTTTCCTTTTCCCAAGTACCTAAGGAGGGTTGTAAAAGCGATGCAATAACAGACTAAGCTGTGTTTTTGCAAATCATGCCTGGCTATGGAACAGTAGCAAAGTGGTCACATTTTTAATGAAGATTCAGACAAAACTATCTGAACCAATTTATAGTACCTTCAATTCGATTAGCAACTCACTCTCAAATAGTTCTGTCTGAACCTCAATGGAATTATTTGTACTGTTGTCTCCGACATAAATAAGTTGAGAAACTGTGCCCTCTGTAGTGCCAGTTCACTGAAGTTCTGGCCATGACGTTGTAGGAACTGGAGAACTTTGCATAGGTTCATAGTGCTGAACATATATTCTGCTATGGAACTGCTTTTCAGGGATTCTGACTAATGTGTGGAGGCTAAAAGGATAGCACCTTAACTTGGATTCTCCCCCCCCCCCGCCCTTTTTATTTTCCCCTTTTTTAGAAAAAAAAAAAAATAAAAATCAAAACTATTTCTGTTTCTTGGCATTATTTTTTAGGAGCCATCGTAGTTCCCTCATTACACATCCTAAATCTCATTCTTTCATTTCTGTTTCTCTTGTATATGCATTTCCCCTTGTCTTTGAGCTGAATGTTGATCTTACTGTACAGCTTTAGATCCTCTTATAGATTCCTCTCACCAGCACAGTATATGAGGCAATATTAAGATTTCTCCATGTCAAAAAGCCCCACTTGATTAATTCTCTTGTGCAAACACCCTCTGTCTCAGCTTTGACATTACTTTTTTACATAGTTGAAAATGATGCTGATTATACCAAAATGGGATGCTTGTTCTCTTTTAAATGGTTTTATCTATTGTTATTCTTTACTATGTATGATTACTTAATTTATTTGTTTTTAATTTCTTTTTTTTTTTTTGGCCAGGGACTAGCAGCATTCATTTCCTTTACATTTTATGTAATACTTTGCCGTTAGCATCAATAAGGTGCAGTGTAAGCTGCTGATTCAAACAGAGCATACACTGCCTCTGAGATAATAAAGAGTTTCTGTTGATGAAATGCATTCCAGTACAAGAGAGGAAATTTAATTATATGGAATTCCAATTATGAGCTGTAGTATTTCAGTCAGTATGATTAGTAATAGAATTAATACTGCTCAGCAAAATTGCCAGACTCGGACCACTAGTAGAAAGAAATTAAAAGTTTACCATTTTATTTTAAAGTTTTGTTGTTCTTTTCTTCTCTTTTTTCCTCTTTTTCTTCTAGTCAGACACAGAGTTTTGGGATAAAATGCAAGCAGAATGGGAAGAAATGGCTCGCAGAAACTGGATTTCAGAGAACCAGGAAACACCAGGGCAAGTCACCATCTCAACCATTGAGAAGGTAACACAAAGGTTTTTAATATCCTTCCTGTGAAACTTTGAGATGAGACTCAGCTGTTCAAGGCAACCCAAGAAAACTCTTTGGACACAGAAGCTAATTTTCCCAAAAGAACTCATTCTCTTTGACTGTGAGTGGCGTGGATTAAAAAACCTTATCATAGTGAGAATACATTCTCACTATGTGTGAGACTTGCACACTGCCAGAATTCCGCTGGAAGGATCACAAAGCAAACTGCTAGGTTATGGGCACTTTTGAAGACGGGCACTTCAGGAAAAGCACCAAATAAAAAAATCTGGGCTGGCACATTCAAACACTGTTAAGTATAGAAATTATAGAGATTCTGTCTCTCTTCTTCATTCTCTCCATCATATATTTTAATTTAGAATCATAGAATGGTTTGGGTTGGAAAGGACCTTAAGATCATCTAGTTCCAGCCCTCTTGCCATGGGCAGAGACATGTCATCCTAGACCATGTCACCCAAGGTTCTGTCCAACCTGGCCTTGAACACTGCCAGGGATGGAGCATTTACCACTTCTTTGGGCCCATTCCAGTGCCTCACCACCCTCACTGTAAAGAACTTCTTCCTTATATCTAATCTAAACTTTCCCTGTTTAAGTTTGAACCCATTGCCCCTTGTCCTATCGCTATAGTCCCTGAAGAAGAGTCCCTCTCCAGCATCCTTGTAGGCCCCCTTCAGATACTGGAAGGCTGCTATGAGGTCTCCATGCAGCTTCTCTTCTCCAGGCTGAAGAGCCCCAACTTTCTCAGCCTGTTTTCATACGGGAGGTGCTCCAGTCCTCTTATCATCCTCATGGCCCTCCTCTGGACTTGCTTCAGCAGCTCCATGTGCTTCTTATGTTGAGGACACCAGAACTGGACACAATACTCCAAGTGAGGTCTCACAAGAGCAGAGTAGAGGGGCAGGATCACCTCCTTTGACCTGCTGGTCATGCTTCTTTTGATACAGCCCAGGATACGGTTGGCTTTCTGGGCTGCAAGTGCGCACTGAAGCGAGCTCATATTCGGTTTCTCACTAACCACCACCCCCAAGTCCTTCTCTGCAGGGCTGCTCTGAATCTCTTCTCCACCCAGCCTGTAGCTGTGCCTGGGATTGCACTGACCCAGCCGCAGGACCTTGCACTTGTCTTGGTTAAACTTCATGAGGTTGGCATCAGCCCACCTCACAAGCGTGTCCAGGTCCCTCTGGATGGCATCCCTGCCCTCCAGCATATCAACCGAGCCACACAGCTTGGTGTCATCAGCAAACTTACTGAGGGCGCACTCAATTCCATTGTCCATGTCACCAACAAGGGTCTTGAACAGGGTCAGTAGCTTGATCAGTAATTTGATTTTTACTGTGTAGCTGATATTAGCATACACCACTTACACTGCAGCAGCAAGTGCAATTTAAAGAAATACTAAAATAAACTCAGGTGTTTGCAACACTTCTGTATCTTGAAGGTTAACTGAAGATTTCAGGGTATTAACTGAACAGAATCAGGTTACAAGCACTGCAGGGAGTCAACTGCTTGGTGAATGCTCTCCACCATCAAATTTGATCAGGCCCATGCTAGGTTCAGTTCTGCTGTTATTGCAGACAGTAGGGAGTTGTTGCCATTATCTTTGATGGGAGCAGGAAAGCCCAACATGAGTACCAGTAAGTATTACTGCAGAGCTAAAGTAAAATTAGAGAGAAGAGAAACATAAATGTCCAGTGATGCTAAGTTTTTACACTTTTTGTCATTGACATTTCAGGGAGGGGGGCTCGTACTATTTTCATAGAACACAACATGTTTACATTCATTTGGGAAACAGTCATTTAATTTTATAGAGATGCCATTCCTTGCTGTTGTGCTTCATCATGGATCCATTATCTATCTTCTCCAGGGTTATTATTTCCATACTGAGAATCCCTTCAAAGACTGGCCTGGTGCTTTTGAGGAAGGACTGAAGAAAATGAAAGAAGGTGACCTGCCAGTTACAATCTTATACTTGGAAGCTGCTATTCTACAAGAACCCAACGATGCAGAGGTATTCACTCATGCACCTTTTATAGATAAAGAAAAAGGGGACTCCCTTTTGATGGAAAGATTTCAGGGCCCAAACCTCTGCTAGTCATGACTGACTGAATGCTAACAGTGGTTTTGAAATAGTGTATGCCTTGAAAGGTGAGCTCTTCATAAGATGAGAATCTGTTTTTGAAATTATATCATTTCCAAGTTGTCATTTAAAAGCATTCAAAGGATATAATATTTCAAACCTTTCCTTCTTTTCCTGATGTTTTCAAACTATCTTTTAAACACTACTATTCAAAAGATGAACATTTTTGATTTAACAAGAATGTTGACAAATTTTTTAAAGTTACATTTATTTCTGAAATATTGATGTTTTCAACAAATACATATGTGTCAAGTCTGTTTTCTGTGAAACATGAAAAATATTTACAGTGTATCTAGGTCTCTTTCAATCTATTGCTACATTAAATTAAGCAGCAGTGTTTTGAAAAGCAGAGAGAATCCCCAGACATTCTTGAATTCCTTGAATCTATACTTCGCTGTTCTTCACTGTTTTCCATCAAATTCTAGCAAAATCTAAAATGTACAGTAATTCAAATTTAAGAAATCATCATGTGCTCACTGACAGAATACCTCTGCATTCATTCATTATAAATGTTATCAGGCCCAAAGATATTCAAAACTGCACCGATTTGTGCTGTTGGTATGCACACTGTGGAAAAATCTGCAGCTAGTGCTGGATAGATTTGCTATTTTTGTTCACCCTGCTGCTTAACAGTGGTATTAGTTGTAACTCTGCTTGCAGTTGGGTATATATAACAAAATAACACCATGATGATTATTTTTGCAGGCCTGGCAGTTCCTGGGTGTAACACAGGCAGAGAATGAAAATGAGCCAGCAGCCATTGTCGCCCTCCAAAGGTAGATGAAGATAATTGCTAAATAGGGGTTTGATGAGTATTAGGTAGTGCAGACCTACATATATTTAACATCATACTTATCTTGTAATATGAAGCATTTATTTAACTAAATAAAGCACTGACATAGATATACAAATCTTCCCAGTGACTTAGAGGGATGACTAGTGATTAATATTGCTGGTTTATTAAATAAGTGCAATATTTAATCTAGTAATTTAAGTAGCTGCACAAAAAGAAAAGTTACAGGACATTATAAACATGAATTAGGCCTAATGCAAACGAAGTACCTTTTTGATATTTTAGCCACTTGGCATGTTTTCTGTAGTCTGTCCTTTAATGAAGAAGTTTTCTTAATTGGAACGAGCTCGCTTCAGCTGCTGAACACTAAACTGACAACATTTTTAGGCTGATAGAGATGCAAAGATCACAGTATGCTTGTATAATGTCAGTTCCAAAATATCAGCATTGTTATTATCTTTCCATAGTCAGTACCCACTCCATATTCAATTGCATTAGCAATGTTAACCATCAAGTCATTTCACCTAAGGATACTCTAACTTATTTATATGTAACTTATTAGCTTGCCTGGTAGAAATCCAAGGGGTTGCCTGATTTCGGGCTTGTTCATCCCCACCATTTTGATAGAAGCAACAGTGACATTCACAAAATAGACAAGATTCTGGTTTTGGTTGATGGTATATAACCATAGAAAGACCACCTGAGTTGATTTGTTTCCAGCTTCCTAAAAGAAAAACCTGGGATTCAGCATGACTGAGAAGATTCTTGTGGATGGAAGAAATTTTGTCTTCAAAATACTTTTTTTTATATAGCTGCAAACCATTTTAAACCACTCACTTGAATTTACATAAAGCTTCTCTATTTACTAGACAGGTATTATAAAAATGAATCTACCTACATTTACTCATAACCAGAAGGATGTAAACAAAACTTTTATGCATACGTTAATATACATAAGTGCATATGCACAGCAATGTGCATGCATACGTGTGTGTATATACATACATATAATGCACTTACCACAGAAAAATACAACAAAGTCCATTCATTAAATGTATTATTGGCTAGATCTTACTTGTGTGAGGGATTTTCATTTTTTTTTTTTGACACAGATTATTTTGAAAGAAATCAAGAATTGCATTTGCTAAAAAAAAAATACGTCACTATATTCTTATTTTCTGCATTTCAGGTGCCTGGAACTACAGCCAAACAACCTAAAAGCTCTGATGGCCCTGGCTGTAAGTTATACTAACACTGGCCATCAACAAGAAGCCTATCAAGCTCTAAGAAACTGGATAAAGCAAAATCCAAAATACAAATACATAGCTAAAAGCAAAAAAGGGTCCCCAGCACTTACCAGGAGAATGTCTAAGACATCAGATGAAAGGTAAATACAGTGTAAATCTCAATGGTGGAAATTTTAACATTACTAGAAATGATGGTGGATGCTGTGCCCCCTTAATCTGCAGACGTCCAGCCTATCCCCTACAATGGAAGACTCAATGTGACTAGTGGCAGGAGGAGGGAACCAAGGCAAGACAATTGGTTTAGCAACTGAAGGATGTATCTTGTACCATCACTGGAAGTTAAAAAAAAAAACAAAACAAAACAAGCCACCAAAACATTAATAAAGAAGCTAAAAAGACATGCTTCCCCTCAGCTCCCATCACTTTCTTCTGACCCTGTCTGCTGCCCCTGTATTCTCACATCTGCATCTTCATTCTTCAGCTGCTTCCAAATCCATACCAGGCCTGTATCCTGCTCTACGTGTGTGTTCTCCCTACTGTTAAACATATTTCCTATATCCCTACCAAGCCACATGAATCCAGGAATGACAGCCATTTTTCAGTGGGATACGGCTTCAGTTCACTGAAAGTATTGAGAGGTAGCATCTGATTGTTTAAAAGCTATTCTGGTTCTAACCAAAGAGATAGTGTAGTCATTTTATTTGACTTCAGCCTAGCATACTGTATTGGGAGCTGGCAGCCATTTTAAATAACAAACAAAATCATGAGCTGGCAGCCCTTCATCGTGATTTCATGAGGCTGATAAATAAGTAGTGCTGAATTGCGAGATGCAGGATGCACTCATTACAGGCGTAAGCATGATTTATAGAACTAAATCACTAGAGCTCTCTCACTGCTTGTCATTTTGAAGACAGGCCCTTATCACTAAGAAGCCCTGGGCCGACAAGATAATTCAGTATAAGCAAAAACAAACCATAAAGTTCTGCTTAATTGATAAGTGTGTTATCCTGCTTTGGCTTCATCCCACTGACATCTGGTGGTGTCAGTGCAAAGGTTTTATGACTCCTACAGTGGCTACGAAGGACTTAAAATTTGGCATCTTTCTTCTGAGGTCTTGACCGGTTGCTTGATCTATTCCTATTTAGAATGACTACTATTTTTGCCAGTAAAGAACTGTATTACATCTGAGAATCTCATCTGATTTTAATACTTTAATAAGCCTTCATGTTTTCTCACTTGGGTTCATAGCTGCACTATGACTTCATTATATAGGTGAACTTTTTTATTCTGGCACCTGGAAGTTAATCTGTGCTGTGATGAAGCTTATTTTCAAATTTTTAGTGTATCTCTTCTGATAAATTGCACTATGATTTCAATTTCTGGCTATGTAATCAATACTGCAGTACTTGCAAAGAACTGTAAAACTGAATATTAAGCTATTTTTCACCCTTATCTAGCTCATTACTTGAAGAAGTCAAGGATTTGTATCTGGAGGCTGCTCACCAGAATGGTGATATGATAGACCCTGACTTGCAGACAGGACTTGGAGTTCTTTTCCACCTGAATGGAGAATTTAACAGAGCAATAGATGCATTTAGTGCTGCTTTAACTGTTCGACCAGAGGTACATTTTATGCTTTTACATTTTTAAGAATTTAGCTTTACAGGCCATTTGCTTTCTCCCCTCTTGATCCAGCTAATATTAATGAGATGTCACTTCAGCCATTAAAATTTTAATATCTGAAACAGAAATGTTAATTACAAGACAGTCCCATTTAGAAGCAGATTTATATATGTCCAATTTCTAGCTGTGTTCTGATTGATTGTACTAGTTACGTAAAGCTGCCTATAATCAGGAGTCAGAACCTCACATTCCATGTCAATTACGAGAAAATACGATACTGTTATTTTTGGCAGTCCTCCTTACCTTGGAAGCAAAACCGAACTATTATGACCCTTTTTGACACCTACAGTAGAAAACTCATTTTCCCACCAGGACTATACATTATGGAACCGTCTTGGAGCAACCTTGGCAAATGGGGATCGAAGCGAAGAAGCTGTTGAAGCCTACACACGTGCTTTAGAAATCCAACCTGGCTTCATTAGATCCAGATACAATTTAGGGATAAGCTGCATCAACCTAGGGGCATACAGGTAAGTTACAAAAATGTGTAAACAAACAAGTGAGGAATCGTAACAACAATGTGAAAATTCATTTTCTAGCTGGCGCTATCTAAGAAAAAAAAATAAAATATGAGAATATGGCTCCATAGTCCCAGCTACTGTAAAAGTTTGAAATTTTTTTTACAAAGTAATAACAAATCAATAATACTTTTCCTATAGCCACAAAATCTACATAACAGAACTACTAAATTTCTATTAAAAGAAAATACATCCCTCATTCAGCAAGCTGCTTAAATATTTTGTTTAGCTCTAAGTCCAAGTACTCTTCTTATAACCAATGGGATTGTTCCCACACTTAAACATAGTCCTGTGCTTAAGAGCTTTTCTAAAAGAAAATGTAAGAGCCTGTCTTTAGAAAGGAAACTTCAGTTAAACTGCTTCATGTAGTTAATGCCATCAAAAACACTTTCAGTACATCCTTCAGGAATCAAGGGTGATTCCAGGGTCTCAGCTGCCAGTGTAAGACAGTTATGATGATGGGGAGCTGCACAGCAAGGAAGACAATATCCCCAGATGTATGAATAGACTGAGCTCTGCATTACTAGCTACCACATCCATTTGTTTAAAGAAACTCAAGAAAGAGTAACACAAAGAGACTGATGAACTACACTGTAAAATAATGTACTGTAGTCTACCACAGAACTTTCTTAAGTTTTACTCTAGCTGTTAAGCAAATTACATTGCTTGTTTCTTTTGTCTTCTTCCCTACAGAGAGGCCGTCAGCAATTTTCTCACTGCTCTCTGTTTGCAAAGAAAGAGCAGAAATCAACAACAGGTTCCCCATCCTGCTCTATCAGGCAATATTTGGGCAGCACTGCGAATTGCTCTGTCTATGATGGACCAGCCAGAACTATTTCAAGCTGCCAATGTGGGTGATCTAGACATTCTGTTAAGAGCTTTTAACCTAGAGCCATAATAAAAAGTATCCACAAATTGATTACATTGTATTAGGAAACAGAGAACTCTTTTATATCTCATCTCATCAAGACCATATTTTTCAAAAGATCATGGCTGTAGATCAGTAAGGAAATTCCCTTGGACATTATTTAAAAAGGAAAAGTTCAAAAGCACAAAATATTGTACATAAATTCAAACTCAAAGGATTGAAACAAGCTGTGGCTAACCTGACAAAGCCCTGAACTATATGAAGTAGCCATTTCTAAAGAATCTTCATCCCGTGCAAGCTCTATCTCTCTCTATATGCACAGCTATACAAAGAAAAAAATATTAAAAACAAAGCTAGATAATCATTACTGCACATTAGAATGGAAGCAATGCATCCAAGGAACCTGCTTAGTAGCTCCTTGCACTATGCCGACATCACTTTGCCCTAAAACGTGGATTCCCTGTCCTTTGTTTTCTTTGTTGAAAAGTCCTGTCAAGGTTCATTTTTAACATAGATCTGAGAACAGATGTATGTAAAATGGACGTATTTTGGTTGAATATATTTATTAGCTGGCAGTCAAGAAAATTTTTGCTTCCAAATGTAACATAAGAGTTGTGAACCATGTGCAACATTAAAAGAAACATCACGCATGGAGGTCTATGGGATTAGGCCATGTACATATGGGAAGGCCAGGCGTTGCCAACAGAAGCAGTAATTTGCACTAGAATTGTTGCTGTTTAAACCAGCTATCCCTGATCTTGCACAGAGCACATCTGCTTCAAAGGGGCTCATAGCAGGATCTGCAACTATGTACTTACGCACTTTACTCTTTCTTTTTGTAAGATAGTGCTATGCTTTTATTTTAGTTACTAACAACAGAATGTACAGGATAGCCTTGTTGGCATAGAGGACCAAATATAATTTCCTGAAATGTAATGAGAGGGTTTTCAATATTCTTGTGTTTAAAAAATGCAAATACAGTATAAACTGCAATATTCATTAGAAAGATCATTCTATTATCATCAGGTACTGCACACATACATGCATGTGCATGCACATACATGCTGTACGTGAGTTATGACATTTCAGAACATATTAATCCACAGATCTTTATTGCAAATAAAGAAAAATCTTCATAGGACTTAATGCCTGCAGACCATGCTCAAGGGAAAATTTTCCCTGAAAAAGTTGGTCTGTATAATGCTTGTAGGATTGAGACTAAGATTTGATCCTGCTATTACAGCAAGCAGTAGCAAAAGTCTCAGTGATCTCCATGATAGCAGACTAAACCCTTACATAACATCAGTACTTGTAGCTGCCTAAAAATGTGTGTATATATATGCACATACCATCTTAATTTTCCCTGACTGGATGAATGGGGAACAGCATTGGGGCATTACATGATGAAAGGATTGATTCAGCTACAATCAAACACATTTAGCTCAAGGTGAATGTGTCAATCAAAGACAGGAATAGAAATTTTTAAGGTGATAATTTTCGGTTGCTGATATTTTTCCTGTACAGTGAAAGATAAAAAGCCTCATCACATGGCTACTATGTTGATCTGTGGTCAGGAATTCAATGTGCAGGGTAGGTACTGAAATGTGTTGAAGTGGGAGAAACAGCACAATTCCTACAAACAGCATTGAAAGAAAAATCCAGCCCGATCAGCTGGATTTAAAAAAAAACAAAACAAAAAAAAAAACACCAAAAAAACCCCAAAACACAACCACCAAAACCCTGCAAAGATCACAGAGAAAGAAGCTCTGTGGGAAACAGCACAAACCTAATGTTTCTTGCAGCTGTCTGGTTTTTTGAGCAACCACTCGAAGGAAAATTCCATGTAAGACAGCGTAATCACTGCATCTAATCACCAACTATAGTTTATTAAATAATCAATTTTCATTAAAAAATAAAAGGCTTACCCCACACTCTCTCCCACAGAATACAGATGCTGAAACTACTATAGGAATTTTTTAGTAGTGCTTTATTAATTCATCCTTTACACATGTATTCCTATTCAGCTATAGAATGTTTTGTAACTGATTCCTGCAACTTTCTCTAAGGATTAGTTATCAAGGACTGACTGGGAGTGTTGTTTTAGCTAAGTGGGCTGCTGTACGCGTATCTGCTGATAACAGTTTGCTCTTTTGCTTTGATAGCGATGTGGGATAAGGCAGAGCAGAAGGTGCAGTGCAATTGAATGTGGAAAGTGATACGAAAGAAGGGAGGCAGCTTTGAGAAGAGGCTATAAGGCAAAAGCAATATGCTTAGATTTTGCCTGATGCCCTGCCATCGCACAAATTCTTCTAGAATATCCTCTGTGCAGTGGTGTAGGATAATCAGTACTTATCTAGAGGAACTGGCTGCTCAAGGGCTTTATTTTTATACCTTTCAAATAAAATAAAAACAACTTAACTGCTTGACTTCCCAGAGCCAGAATGACAAGGGGCATTTGATACTGATAGCAGTTCACTAAACCTCTTCTTCTCTAGGATGTGGACAAGTAACACAGCAACTCTTTTAGGAAAACCTAATGCATCTCCTAGTGACCCCAAAAGGAGCAGACTGAGTAGACAGTTTTTGGTATATCCTGGAATGCACTGCTCAAAACTGCATTCATCTGCTGATACATGTCCACACCCACGTGACTGGTGTGAGGAAAGTTGTCTGTGTACACCTAGAGACAAATCACTGAGGCTGAAGTCTGCCTCCCAAGAGGATACTCAGGCCTCCAGTTCATCACGGGCACTGCAATCCTGCTGTACTGGACACAGGCTACAAAGCCTATCCAAAGAGATTGTGCACACTCTTGGAGGTTAGCCTATTTGCTCCAATCAACCATGTACCACTGACCAAGACACTGCATGAGGGAAAGATTAAAGCAGACAGGGGACAGTGGCACATCTCCTTACACCAGACACCAGTTCTGGCCTGTCTGTGTGGGGGAGTGGCCGGTGACTGAGCTCACCTCACTCTAACAGCTCAGGCTCCGCAGCTCTTGGTACTTCCGGGAACTTCTTCAATATCCTGAGCTTTATTGTCCTCCTTTAGCCCCCACTGCCAAGCACTGTCAGTGCAGAAGACATGATTAGATATAGCTTTGATCCAACCTTCTCACAGTGTTTCTCAAATATTCAGTGGCAAGCATGTATATTTGCCTGAAACAGCAAGAGAAAACATGTGAGGAGGCTGCAGCATATTAACAACCTAAAGAGGAAATTCATCTACTCATACTTCTAACCAAGCATGAGGTAGGATAAGCAAGGCAACTCATGAATAGTAGCAGACTGAGCCTGAGAGTGACATGGTAAATCTGGGTCCTGTTCTCAGTGCTCCCTGTGAGCTCAACGAAGTCAAAACCTCTTGCCATCTCTGACTTGCTGAGCTGTGCAAGGAAGGAAGATGGACAAATAACAGCCACTGCCTGTGATGGCACTAGCAAAGAGCAGGGGAGTGCCACTGTTCCACAGACCACACGGGTCAGGTCACCACTCACGTAAACTGAAAGGCAGCACATGAACACAAGGTTGCTCAGATCTACATAAGGAAACAAACTATGTTTCACGTAAGAGATGAGCAGTTTCAGCAGAGGAGAGACTGAGACATTTCAGGATAACTGTGCAGCATCTATGGGATGATGACAAATTAATGTTACAATGGTTTATCATCATCTCTGCCCCATTTCCCTTTCTTGTCACTCCCCTCTTTCTCCAGAGGTGATTTATCACTGCCAGGTAATTGATTACAAGTGTTTTTGAGTCTTCTGTTTTATATTTCATACAGTTACAGAATGTTTTCCTAACCCCAGCTTGTGAATGTCCCTCTCCTCTGCAAAGCTTTATGAGTATTTACAACCTGTAAGTCTGATCCATCAAGCTGCTGAACAGTGAAGGTCTGTAGTCTTCGCAGGAGTCCTCAGCACTTGGCATGATCAGCTCATGTGCCCATATTCAGTGACCGGACAAGGGCTGGCCTCTGATAGCACTGCACATGCTAAACAGGCACTGAAATCAAAGTGATTATTTATGGAGTGAGGTTTTCCAATGAAAGTAATAGGCTCATTTGTAACCTATCTTCTAAACTACAATGTCTATTGCTGCAATATAGTGGTTTATGTCAGTTTCAAGAATGGATTTGATCTTCAGGTAAACACATATATATATCTGTATCTAATGGTATTTTCTTATGATGTGATGAAACATAGCACTTGTAAAAATATTGAGGGGGAGGTTCCAATGACAAAACCTCATATGACAATATTGCATGCAAGTACATTAATAACCACACTGAAATATTAACACAAAGCATGCAGTAATAATACTTGCATATATGTTTACAGAATGCATGCAGAAGACCCACTCATAGGGTATTTTTAAACTATTGATTGGTATCTTCTATGGGATATTTTAAAAGTACGTTGCATCTGCCATACTCAAAACTGAGTCGTTCATGTTACTTGGAACAGATTAGACCAAATGCAGAGCCCTTTTTAAACCCCATCCTTAGAAATCGCTTTGTGTTGTGCATTTCATGTTTGCTTCAAGTGTTTATTTAATGACAGACATCTGTAGTAACAGCTTTGGCAGACAGGTTTTAGTATCCTCTTAAGAATTAAAAAGCTAAATGTGTGCAGCTTTCACTGTGAGTCAGATGTTTAGATTTTCACATTTTCTTCTCCAAATCAGAGAAAAAAAGATTCCCAGAACCAGTGAAACAACTATTGTCTCAGTCCACACTTACCTACCATGGCCAGGCTTTTCAAAGTTGCCCACTAGCTCTGAAGGCAGCTCAGTGTCTAACTGTCCTGTTTGAAATACATACATGTAAAACTTCAGAGGATTTAAGTATCTGCTGCAGCCACGGATTTCAGCGGCAGACACTGAACTCAGCTGAAAGCTCAGAACATGAAGTTACACATGAAGAGCTAATAAACCAATTTAGAGAACTTGGACCTGCCTGTCAGGTGAAAAGGAGGACCCTGACAACACCAGGAGATCAGCCAGATGATTCTAGGAACACCCATAGAGCACAGG